GCTGAAAGGCTCAAATTGTAACGTTATCACCTACACTGTTGACACATGGTCTGGGCTAATCATCCTGTGTTACCAACATGCTTCATGGCCAGTGCTGAGGGCACCAACAAGATAATGTATCATAAAAAGCTATTGCAGGTGACTCTGTGAGACAACCTGAACTGGCAGTGCTGGCTCTCAGCAGTTCCAAGGAAGCAGAGGCTTAGTGCCCTGGCTATCACTAGAGATACACCAATGAACTATTACAGAGAAATTATTTTAAAATCTTTTGCAAACAAAAGCCTGCAAAACAAACTGGATTTGAATTCTCTGCCTCGTTTCAAAGTCAATTATATTTCCAAGCTGGGGATGAAACACTTACTCACCTCCTTCCATTTTATCTCATCCTGAAAGTTGACAACTATTTTGACGTGTCTGCCTCCCTCTTTCCGGGCTGAGCCATCTCCAGTGTCATCTAACAGCATGTCTGTGAACAGAAAACATCAACAGCTTCACAGCTCTATTGTAATAACACCGAAGACTATTCTGATTTATGCCAACACCTCTATTGTAGTCAAACACAACACATCTGGCCTTCACATGCCCCGAGGTAAAACGCAAGAACCAGGTTTACCGACTTCCCTACCAAATATCAGGATCGCTCAAAAAAAGTGACAGTCACTGAAAATTATTAGTCAGTTACTCTGTATTTTCCTCCAATGATACCTCCCCTGGCAAATGTACACTATTAAATGGCTTTAAACACACAGCTGAGGTCATAATTGGACAACTCCGAGCCAGGGTGGAGCAGACCTGTGACGACATTTGAAAAGGAGGCTTTGTGCCAGCTCCTGACATATTTCCACACCTCAACTGTTCATAATTTTCATGCTTTCATTTCTCCATGGCTAACCAAACCAAATCTTCCAAGTGCAGGATAAAACCTGCCCAGCTCCTCGCTCATTAAACTCACCGAGACTGGTCGACTCCGTGAGGTTCAAACTGTGTTGAGAGAGACCCACTGAATGTCTTGGAGAAGATGAGATGGAAACCTGAGACTGAGCCCTGCTACAGCTCCCGTGGTTTTCAGATTTCAGGCGATCATTTTCTGCTTTTAATTTTTCAATCTCACTCTTGAAAAGACAAGTCAGGCGTTAGAAGGCACACTTAAAAGAGAGCAACAGAAGTGACTACAGAAGAAATCCTGGTTTAGCAGAAACGCCATTTTCATAATATTTTATTTTAATAAAATAATGCTTTTAATTGTTACGACATCCCTTCCATGAAACTTTCCAGAGTATCCTAGAAAGCATAAATGTGTGGGAATTCACTAAACACTGAAATGCAGCTACTTTGAGGCAGAGAACATGGAAATACTTGAAGGGGTTGCTGACAGTCAAGAAAATTATCTCCCTGGAGGTTTCTAGGGTTGAAACAGTTACAGCTGCAGCATGAGGGCAGCAGAACTCATGTGTTCAAGGTGATTTTTAATGAAGGTGCAAGGTTGAACATTGGCTTAAAACTAGACATAACCTTTAGTAAGCATCCAAAAACTTCAGATTTACCTTCTTTCAGATCTTCAGTGAGTGGCAGGTTGGCCAATCCTGAACACACCAACAAAGACTGCAGTATTTGGTTACTTCTTACCTGCATTCTGTTCATGGCCTCGCGCAGCTGGTCAAGCTGGTGAGCAGAGCTAAGGGCTTCCAGACGAATATCAGTCAGCTTCATCTCCTTGTCTCTCAGCTCATTTCGCAACTGCATGACTGTTTCAGCTTCACTGTCAGTGCACTCAGAAATACTGGAGCAGATTGAGGAACAGACATTGAGTGAGACCACTTTTTGCTTTTCAGAGAGTGTTATTCCATCATTTATTAGTAGAGGAGGAAAATAATCTTTTGATTCTGTAACAAGCTGGCAACAGCTCCTGCTTCTTGGATTAGTGATACCATAAATCAGATAGTAAAGAGGTCATGGAAACATCAGAGAGTGGTGAAATAAATATGTCTGAGGGTGATTTTTCTTTAATCAGCATCTGAAACAGAATTCTGGAAGTCACCTACTATTGGATAGCCCTTGTTTTTTCATGGTAGCTGCCATAAAGGAAAACTTCTAAAGCCAAAATCTAAATAAATTAAGGGGGTGTAGGCAGCGACGGCAGTTGGTTGGAGATTGATGAGTTTACAGACAGATTTAAAGCTCGCCAGGTGTGCACAGCTGGGTTTCCCTGAACTGTTCTGGAGGGCTTTAGGACTCTACACCTATTGAAGCGTGATAAATTCCTGCTCGCTTTCAAGCACTCATGCTTAAAAAATTTTTGGTGGCTTTTTTCTTCCCTCCTCATACAAAAAAAAAAAAAAAGACTCTGGGTGAGTAACATTTCAGCACATTCATAAGTGTATCTATATAAAGATCAGCTACACAGCTGCGTGCTTTGAGGGAGATTTCATTTAAAATATTTCTCCCTATATCAGGTTAATGAGAGAAGTTTTCCCCACTAAAAAGTCAGTAAGCCAAAATACACAAGTTTTGCTTCTGCTCTAGCCTTCCCTCTGTTCCCATATTTACTCTTTTCTCATGTTTAGCCTTTTGGCTTTCATGTCAAGATAAGACATACGCACACAGAATTTTGACTGATGATAGATGAGGTCATTATTTGACAAATTTCTGGCCTTAGCTTTCTAAAGCACAATTTGCTGTAGTCACCAGAAACTTGCCAAGTGAGGCTCAAGAGACTGGAAAGGCTTTACAAAAAAAATCACAGGGGATTATCTTCTGCTACTAACATTTCATCGCTATTATACGGCTGGAAACAGTTGCTATTGTTTTCACTTCTTGAAGTGAAAACAAGTGATGGGCAAAACTTCAAGCCTGGGTCCTTACTCAAAAGCATTTGATCAGAAATCAGGCTGGAAGCTTTGCATGACACCTACTAGGTCATAAGGCTCTCTGGTAACTGTTTCACAATACTGCCACTTACAACTTTCTGTATTTATCCTATTTAAGTGAGAAAGCTACTCATAGAATTAACAAAAAAATTTCACACAGTTTTCCAAACACATCCTAAAATGTGAGTTTATACTCAAAACACAATTATTTAGCTTTATTTCACAGGTAGCCAAAAAGAAGCATCAAGATTGCCTGTGACCTTCCCATCAACATAAAATGAGTCAAGCAGCAGAGCAGAAGTCCTGACTTTGAAGTCTATATCTCATTCTCATCATGCACAAGCTGAAGGGTATGATGTGGTGCTACAGATGAGCCTCTACAATATACTTCCCAAAGGACACATTGGTTTCTCACTCCTTGACCCCAAGCCTGCTCTTGGCCTGGCTGTTGTCATCCTCCCAGGCTTATGCCAGCTCTGGCACTCAGAGTGAGAGCAGACCTGAGCTGAGCCAACCCACCAACCTGGGGAAAAAACTGTTCATGTTTCTGTCCAATTATTCTTCACATAATTTAGCAAGAGGCATAGGCTCAGGGGAGCTGTCTGACAGGCAGCAGAGCCAGTTGCAAGGGAAGGACCAGGCACAGGTGGCTAGGAAGGTGCAGAAGAAAAGAGGAGCAGATCATCTCCATCCAAGCTGTTAGATGAGTTCAGCTGCATCAGGAAACCATGCTGTTTAATTTCTGGTAAATCCTCACCTTTAGCTGAATTTGTGAATTTATTTGAAAACTCATCATTGCACATTAGTACACAATGTACTGTCTTTAGCCACCACAGAAAACAAAATCCCAGGCTTGGCCTGGCTTGTTTCATTAACAGCAAGACATCCAATTAATTCTACACTCCAAGGTCACCCTGGTTATAAATACCCTTCATACTCTACATGTTCTCCTGAGAGAGCCTCCCAAGGAAATACTAAATTATACCACAGCAACAATGCCATGATTTTGGCTTCCTGGACATTAATGCAAAGGTACTGTGTTGGGAGTCAGCTTACATATCTTTAATTCCCTGGATACACAAATTCTACTTTTCTGTCCTCTGCCTGTATTCTCCTTTGACTACAGGACACTCCAAACAGGCAGGAGTTGAAAGTGTGATCTTTGCTCATTCTTTTGCCAGTATGACAGAGTTGAGGATTTTACCCAAAATACTTCACAACCACAGCCCTTCTCTGGGAGAGAATGTAAGTGATGTTTGGGAGTAGGACTGATCAGTGACAACAGACCAGCCTTGACCTAGAGAAGAATCCTGTCTGGTCCACTGTGTCTTCTGTGGCCTCATGGTGAGCAGCTGGTTTTAGCAGTGCATGTAACTGAGCAGCTTACATAGGGCTTACACAGATGTGCAGATACTTAGACAGAAGAAGCAACAGGCACTGGATGGCATAAAGTACATCTTGCCCCTGTTCATTTCCAGAAAGTGCCCTAGAAATGTCCTGCAAAGCTAGCATGGAAAACACTGGATCTCTCCAAAGCATGACAGTTCTCCTTTCCTCTACCAGTGCAGCAAGATGCCTTCCATGCCATTTTCTATTTAAAAATCACTTACAGAGAATTGGAATGGGAAGCTCTCAGCAATGGGGTTGCAGCAGTAGAGTTGTGGTGTGGTAGCTTTGGTGAAGAAGGTAATGAAGAATCAGTCATCTCCTCAATATCTGAATGAGAAGATGCTGACTTGGGAGATTTCTTTTTACCAAAAGCTTGCTTGAAGGAGCTGCGTAACTGGAAGAAAACAAGACCAAAACAGTAGGCACATCATTAAGGATGAAACCAGGCAAAAAAGCCACAGAGCAACTCAAAACATGCAAATTCTCCTAATGACACAGCCAGACTCACATATTTTTTAACACAGGTTAACAAAAAAAACAATTTAAAAAAGCTTTTTTCCCCCATAACTATTGAATGAGATTAATAATGAGATTAATACCAATGCTTCCTATTTTTAGGATAACTATTTTACAGCAAATTCAGTTCAGTGCAACAAGCTTTACAGTGATGTTGTAGCAACTTGCAGCTATAATGTGGCGTGGCTCAGACAAGGTTAATGATGCTGAAAAGGTTAGTCGTGTACATGGATGGGTTAGCTTTGTATCTCACAGTTTGAAGTATGTCTTCCTTACCTCATTAACCTGCCGGAAGAAGCGCAAGCAAAAGGAAGTGAGGGAAGGAAAAAAGACATATTTTAACAGATAAAGCCAGTGATAAGGAAAGCTTTGGATTTCTAAGACAAACATGACCAATAATCAAGAAAGATGAACAGTTACTTTAAACATGGAACCCTGTATTTTTCTAAAGCAGGTGTTTCAAACAACATACATCTTTGCATTCTTTGAGGGAAACACTAGACCCAGATCTGGTCACTACTTGCAGGAACAGGAGAAAAGACTGAACATTCTCTACATACCTGTAACCAAAAGAACCTTTTCTCATGTGACTGTCATTTTCCAAGCAACAACAATAATCACTATTCATGTGATTAAACTGATGTAATCCAAATGTTACTGTTCACCAGTTAATGTTCAAGAAGTGTTTGAACAACATTCCCAGATTTAAGATTTAACTTTTAGGTTGCCCTGTGAGGAGTCAAGGTTTGGACGTGATGATCCTCATGGGTCCCTTCCAACTCAGGATACTCTGTGAACATCATTTAATGCTATCAGAAATCATATGCTGTAAACAGACTGGCTTAATATGAGCTGAAAGTTGTTTTTGAGCTGGACAAAAGCTCCTTTAGTGAGAAATGTTGAAAATCTGGTGTTTCAGCTCCAAACTGGCAGCTGTGTTGTTTCTCTACGTAACATAGAGATCTTGGCTGGTAACTTTCTCAATATTTGTGAAATAAACAAGGTGTGAATCAGACTCAACTTATGTGTTTTCTTATTAAATTACTGAATTAATATTCAAGTTTAATTTTACAGCAGTGTTGTAGTGATTTTTAATAAAAACATATCATGTTTCTTCTATTTCATGAAAACTTGGGCTGTTTCTCTTTATAACAAGGAGATGTTTCCTTAACTTTCTTTAAAAATAGTCATCTGATGAATGGGAAGTGTAGATTGATGTAGGATAATATCTACTGGGTTACAGTAATAAAGAAGAGGAGCTAAAGTAAAAATTTAAAGTGTTTATCTTAACCAAGGCTTAATGATTATAAAAAGTTTGTATCACAAATTAAGAGTCACTAGCAATTTAAAAATTACAGCAATTTACTTCATCTGTAACTACTGTATAACCCAGCATAAGAAGGATTTGGAGATGACATTGTCTCCATTCAACCAATTATTTAAGGGCAGAGTGGAAAAATTACTGTTACGAAGGACTTGGCAAGAAATCAAAATGAAACCACTGGGATAAGAGAGAATTAAAACAAGAACATGCTCAGGAAACTGTTTCTTACAGTTCAGGAGTTTCATAAACATTTCTGAGAGGCTATTGTGCAAATACAAATCAAGCTTTTACCAGCTCATACCACATTTTGTAGCTATGCAGATTTATCTGTACACCCAAAAGATCCAGGGAGATTTATATTCAATGGGAAGGAAGGGGTGGATTGTTTCACTGGCTACAATAAACAATCTAAGGACTTAAGTCCAAACTATAATCTGACTAGGTCACAAAGGCAGTTAGGGTGTCTAAGTCAAGATGGAGTTTGATATAATGTACCTTTCCTCCAGCACAGGGGACCTTGCACACAGTACATGATGAGCAAAGAAGGAAAAATGGGAAATGGAAGGTAAGCATTGCAACATCTTGCAAAATCAATGTCCATCACAATACATTTTTAAATACTGTTGTCGGCTTTCTTGTAGAATTCCCTAATATGTTCAAAAAGAGTTCTTAAAATATTTAACATGTTCACTTAAAAGAAAGCCCTACAAGCCTGAAAGGAAAAATAAAAGTAGGAATGATCTCTTGTCATGGATTTGTTGTTATGACAGATACTGAGTTTTCCTTAAGGGGCTGGACACCAGATTAATTCTAGCCAGAACTGATCTTTGACAGCTATTTCTAATTTAAGACTGCCCTTTTGGCTGTTAAGCTAAAATTCAATCCTAGGCAGAGTCAACACAAGCATATACATCACTTAGGACTCAATTAAGCCTTCAAAAGAGAGTTTACACAGGATTTAAACAGTGCATGGTCCTTGTGCTGACCTGTCGCGCTGGGGAGGAAGGAGGAGCCGAGCAGCTGGGTTTCACCCTGGACATTCTGACTGTTTTACATAAACCTCCCGCAATCTGTTGAAATCAACTCACCCAGTTCTTCCTCTTCTTTTTCTTTGAGTCGCTCTCAATGTTGCTTCCCACACTGGAGTGACTGGTGGCACTGTTGATACTGGAGACACTGTCTGAAGAGTGTTGCCTTCGGATCCGCAGATCGGTGGCTTGAGCAGCTCCAGGTCCTGATTGGGAATGGAGGCAACGTCAAAATTATGTAAGAAATCTGATGTAAATTACTGGGATAAGCAAGATAAGTGAGATAAGACACAACTGCGTTCAGACTTCATACTGGAAATTCCTGAAAATCCTAAAGAAAATAAAGACAAGTGCCTGACAGCTCTGAAATGGGGAATCTTTGCTCCCTGCTGCTTCACAAAAAAAACACCAAATGTTTTGAGTTGGAAGGGACCTTAGAGATCATCAAGTTCCAACCCCTCTGCATGGGCAGGGACACCTCCCACTAGACCAGGTTGCTCCAAGCCCCATCCAACCTGGCCTTGAGACTTCAGTGTCTACATGAGTGAATAACTAAACGCTTACAGTAAATTCACTGAGCTCACACTGAAAGTAGAACAGCTTTGTTAGAACATCTTTTCATGTCTCTAGCACATCCATTTACTCCTCTAGAATTGACTGCCTTATTGACACCAATACCCAT